ATCAGCTCATTCACAGCATCGGTGATATTTGAAAGAGCAGAAGGAAAAAAAAAAAAAGCATTATCAACAGATAAATTGAATTCTCTTAAAGAATTGATTGAAAGATGAATTGATTTTTCTTTCTGTCTCTCTCTCTTAAGTTATTTGTGAAAAACTAACTCTGTTAAGAGAACTGCATTCAGACATTAATGAAAAGAGACGAAAGAAATAAAAATAACATTCATTAATAAGCATAAATCTTTTTTTTATGCTGTGAAGTACTTTGTATACATATGGTTATCATAAATTAAGGAAAAATCACAAAAATAGCAATAACTCGCTCAAAAATAAGCCAATCCATGTAAAATTTGAATATGTTGTCAAGTAAGAGTAGCTGAGTAAAACTGCAATATGCAAATTAGTGGCGCTGCACTCAGAATACGTCATCTGCTAGGAAAATAAAAGTCCATGTTTGAGAGCAAGCCCACATATTTCACTGTTATAGTGACATCAGAAATCTGAGGTAGCCAATTCGTAACAATGACCTCCAGGCATTGCCTGCAGAACTACGATGGAGAGCCATTGGGAGACTAGAGGCAGGATAAAGTCAAACAGAAGTGGTCAGATGGCTAAATGTGAGTCTTTCTGTGGTTCATAGACTTTGGAGGTGATTTCAAAGCACAGATTCGGCCTCTAGGAGGTTCAGCCAAGGACATCCAACTGCTACGACAAGCGCCACTGACCGATATTTGACATTATGTGCAATCAGGAATAGAACCGCTACACCAACTTTTCTTAGATCCACCCTTCCTGCAGCCACCGGAGGTTGGTGTCAACGTCAACTGCGTAGAAGGCTTCACGAAGGTGGTCTGTATGCGACGACCAGCCATTTGCATGCCGCTCACGTCTTACCATAGGAGGGACAGTTTGCAGTAGGCATGACAACATGTCCACTGGGCTTTTGATCAGTGGAGAGCTGTTCTCTTTACGGATGAGTCCAGGTTTAGTCTAGAAAGCGATAGTAGGCATTATTTGATATGGAGAGAACCTGGAAGACATTATCATCCGTCAAACATCCATTAAAGAGATGCATACGGAAGAGGCAGTGTCTGTGTTTGGGGTGGCATCTCTTTGGGTGGACACACAGACCTCCATGTCTTTCCAACGAAAACCGTGAATGCTCCGGTTTATAGGGATGACATCCTTCATGCTTATGTGTGCCCATGTGCCAGGGCAATAGGTGATGCTTTTTTGTTACAGGGCGATAAATCAAGACCACGCAGGGACTCGCATCGTAGGTGATTATCTTCAACAGGAAACAATTATGCGCATGGAGTGGCCAGCTCGATCCCCGGACTTGAATCCTATCGAGCACGTTTGGGATTTAGAGAGATGTCTAGCTGCTCTCAGTCTGCCCCCTCAGACCCTTGCCGCATTTGTAACAGCTTTGCAAGAGCAATGGCTCTCGCTTCCTATGGAACTGATAGACCTCATAATTGAAAGCATCACGCGTCACTGTATTTGCTGTATTGCTTCTGGAGGCGATAAGTTTCATAAAATTCTACATGTAACTTTTCCAATAATAGTGATTTTTCCTTAATTTATGATAACCAGTGTATTATTCATTTTCTCTATTTTTAACCGAAATTTCATCATTAAATCTTGTAGTATAGTTTAGTTATGCATAGTTCCCCCTGTCCTCTCATTGTAAACTAGTTCTGTAAATTGAACCGTTATTTAAAATTAAAAAATAATTGTAATTGTTTTCCATGGTTGAGTAATGCTAATTCTCTCTAAATAAATACTGAATTTCTCGTATTTTAAATTTCAAGTCTCATTTTTCTTTTAAGATTATGCAGTTATGTATATATGTAAACAGGTGCTTTTTTTTTCCCCTTAAAATGTGCTTGAAAAGTGCTTATTTTTCTAACTTAAACATTGCTACTGACCCTGTGTTTGTATGTGCATGTAGAATTACTTTAAACAAAATTTAAATCAAACAAATATCAAATTTTATTTATTTTAATTCTTATTAATCAGTATTACTATCACCATAAAAGCATTTGATATCTGTTAATTGGATTCCTTCATTAAAGAATTTTGTGGGGTTTTTAACAAATACGAATTTAATCTCATCTTTGTATAATTTTGTTCCCCCTTAAGGAAGTACTGCTAAGATAAAAATATTTGAAAGTATTATACCACAATTAAAACCAGGTGGTAAAATAATGACACTTCAGGTCAAATAATCACATTGTTTTAACTTTTGAAAATTGCAGAAATTTGGCATTGTTGTAAAGAAAGTTTTCTCTTGACAATTCCTGACAATTTTGTTTCAACACTTCAGCCAAAAGCCCTGTTGTTTAAATTAAATATTCGAATCTACATTTTCTCTCATATGAGATACTTCCTGCATACTGGTCTTCAAAACTGAGTGATAATAAGAGAAATAAAACATAATTGATACTTAGCAAAAAATTATTAATAGAAATTTCTACAGAAGCATTAGTTAACATAAATGTCAAGGTTTGGCAATTGATTATTCACAAAATATTGAAATTAAAACCAAATTTATGAAAATTGAAAAGTGATGGATAAATTAAGTCACCTCTTGTGTAAAACATTTTTATTTAATATGGTGTATGGTCACCTGTGTGTACGTACCTCACATCTTGATGTCATAGATGCACATGAAAGTGTTGATCAAGTCTTGTGCAATTACAAGCCGCTCTTCTGAAAGTTCACTTTTCAGCTCCTGGAAGGTCCAGGAAGGCATTTGGCATCCTGAAATTCACTGCTGTAAGCCATTCCACACATAGTCAAATGGGTTCAAGTTGGGTTACAAGTATTCTGATATCACATACGCTCGAGAAGGGCAAGCACAGTCTAACTTAGGTTTCGAATCTTTGTCCACATATCTCTGAGCATTTACAGAACCTCCTTGAATGATCAGCTTGTGCAGCCAATTTCATGGCTCCTCCCCAACTATTAAACCGCAGTCGCAGAAATGGGTATTTATTTGACAGGCAAGGGAAAGCAGGTTGCGTGTTCCATCCTCTCTTAAAGTCAAAACACGTCTAAAATCACTGTTTGGGCTATATTTGAATTTGTCAGTTTGCAATACTCGGGCTCAGTCTTCTGGCTCTATTGAACATAACAACACCAGATTAAATGGACCATCTGGAAACTGGAGTGAGTAGGACACAAACCATAGGTTTTTCTCGCGTACAGTCCAACCTCATTAAGCCTTTGTGCAGCAGTAAAATTGCTAATTTGAGTTCCTGTGGCTGCCTGAAATTCTAAAACCAATTTAACAGTTTCTTTGAGCCAGCAGTGACAGAAAGTGGTCTTCTGACGCAGTTGTTGCTTTTGATCAAACTTAACCAGGCTGTCTATCAACTGATCCAGGTCTTAGAAAGCAGCTCCAAACTCGATACGTCACTTTGAGGAAAATTCAGATCATAGGTGACCTCCACTTGTGTTTGACCTCCCTCGATTCTGTCAATTATTCATCACTTTTGACCTTCGCTTAAATGGTGCCTTTGAACCATAACTACTGAACACTGGTCACTTTCAGAAACCACATTCCCTTTAAACAACACTAGAGACTGGAATTCCAACATGCATCCATTGAGCCCCATATTGTCTGTCACCGAATTTGCATATTTCTGCCACCAGCGTATGTACAGAAGTGCAATTTTGTGTTCAGCTGTATTTAATTAACATAAATAATTCTAGCAATGAGCACTGGTTGCAACGTTAACTTTTTTTCTCATTATCCTTTAATTTTGATAACCAGTGTATATCGCGTTTCCACTCCTGCTCATACATAAAAGTCATATTTTTGGCATTGAGATTTAGTATTTAGAACTGAAGTTTTGTCAGTAGAAAGGCCATTGACCATGGCAATCAATGTTTTCATATGTAATCCACTTTTCATCAACAAAGACAAGTCTGTTTCTAAATGGCTGCTTTTTATGTCTAATAAGCTTACTGAGTTTTGCTCTTCTAAAAACTTTGAAGGAATACACATGTCATTGTAATATGATTTCCCAGTGGCATATAATATGAACATAAAGGATATTTGTATAAAGGCTGCTAAATGCAATTTGTATTAACTGCTACAAATTACTCTGAGTTCAGTATATCACTGATGTTTTCCCTCCAAGAGCTCCTTTAAGCAGTTGTTTTAACCATATTCAATGAATGCCTTGATATTTCAGACATTCCTTATCGATACATATTATGAGGCTGTTGAAAGAATGCTAACAATTTAGGACATTTGCTTATAACACACAGGTTCTTAACCTGAAGGAATTTTGGGGGGGGGATACAGTCAGCCTTTTAGTTATCTTTTAAGTTTTGGTATTTTTCAATATTTTCCATACATTTTTATTGTTTAATTTATAAAATATGTTAAAAATAATCTAAATCTAAATAAATGCATATATGTATTTTTCTGAGGTGTAGACAGGGGAGGGGGATCTTCTGGCAGTGGCGAAAGGGATTCATGTGGCAAAAAAGATTGAGAACTGTCATAATAGAACTAAATGCTTTTCATTGGAAAAAGAATCTTGGATGAAATTGCTGATCTTTGAAGCTTTAAAAATCAGATATCTGGCAGCTCAGTATTTCATTTTTCTTGTATATTGCCATTGTGCACCAGATATTTAAGTTTCTGTTGACAAATTATGGTATTAATTAATACATTGACTGCAATAAATACATAAAAGTATAAAATGTAAATAATTTTGCACAGTTCAAATTAATTTTGAAAGATACTTCATTAAGACATGAAAATTCACATCATTTAGTGTATAAGTGCAAATATGGCAGTCTTCGAATAAAGTTATATGTATCTATAATGGTATAAATTATAACATCTATATCGTTTATTGTAGCTGCAAAACCTGTAAAAATACATTTGTACTTTCAATTAGAGTAATCTTATTAAAAGCTCAGTTATGAACTTTGCATTTCAATATCAAAAGTGTACATTTTATTCATAATTCCAATTTTAGGCTAAACTGAAAGCTGAAAAAAATCGCCAACGTGTTGAAGAAGCATTTTTGAAAACAACTCATGCACAACGTCAAGAAGCAGCTCAAGCTAGACGTGAAGAACGGCGACGTGCTGAGAAGGAAAGGATGATGAATGAAGAAGATCCAGAAAAACAGCGTAAATGGGAGGTTAGTCATCGTTCACTATGATTTTTGTACACATGGTAATAGGTTTCTAAGAATATATAAATACTGTTTGTGTATTTGCCTATACTGTTGAAAACTTTTGTCTATCACTATTCTGACAAGTATAGTGATTAACAGAAGCTGGCTACCGTGACACTGGGCTGAAGTTCAGATTTTAAGTAATGTATGGGTGCTCGTGATTAAAATGTGTAGAGAATAAGGACAATGTTTTGGGGGGCAGAATGGGTCATGTTTCTGTTTCAGATTATGGCATCTTGATAATAGTTTGAAATGGTGATACAAGTCACTGGTCAGAATTTGTGACAGGAAATCCTCCCTGTCATATCACCACAAGAACTGCAGACTTGTTTGTTAGGTGGTTCCAAATGGTGAAGTATCCATTATTCATACACTTTAGGACTTCATCTATGATGATGACAAACTTCTTGAATGATCTGGTGTACTGTTACATATTCGTTCTCATGAATAGGCTCAAACACTTTGTAAGTGTTGAGTGCTATTCTTTTAGTGCTCTCTAAATTCTAAAAATACTATTGTCTTGTATTCACTCAGGCTTTGGCCTTGATACCATCAGTAGTGTGTGTTAGCAGAGCCGGCTTCCAAGTATAGGCAGCCAATTTTTGTACGGTGATAATTAAAGGTACATATCACTTTAAATTATTAAGGTATTTTATTTATATTGGGGAGACCAGCTGTGTTAAGAGTGCCCCAAATGCTAGAGCAAGTCCTCTGCATTAGTATTCCTAACTTCTTGCTGTGTACCAGAGATAACACAAGTGAAATTGAAAGCTTGGTGAAACTGAACAACTTCCTTTACACACAAAAGTACCATGTAGTGTTCTCTGAAAACTTTTGTCATTCTTAATTGTGCCCCTCAGGGGGCTCACTTTTGTGAGTATGGGTGTGGCAATCCGGAGGTACCCTAGCCCTTCAGGGGATCATCTTCTTGGTGAGACGGGTGTCACGATCCTGGAGCCCCAGTGATCTATCCTCTTTTCCGTCTCCTCTCCTCTTGGCTGGAACTTTTTCCCTTCCCTTCTCCCTCGTGGTTTCTCTCTACGGAGTTTGGGGCTCGTCACGAGAGACTGGAGCAGCCCTTGTCTCTAGTTTTCGAGTGGCGAGAAAACTGCCCACGTGTTTGCCGTGCGTGGAGACCCGTGTCGCTGGAAAGGAGGGTCCTGGTAGTTGAGGGGCGAGGTACTGTCCCCAACACACTACTTTGGCCTCTGCTTCAGCTAAACGGGAGGCACCTTAGTCGTCCTCACGAGTGTCAATTGGCTGGTCACTAGTCCTTGTGTCAGTGGCTTGGTGATAAGCTCTCGGGAGAACCTGCTTTTGGGAAAGCCGACTGTGGGGCTTCAGTTTGCATATAGGTCCGGCTAGCCCTAACACAGGAATCTGTGTTCCATTATTGGGCTCCATGGTGGGCAGGGCTGTCGGACCCAAATCTTTTCTTAATTCAATATGGCAAATTCACACATTTATTTAATCAAAGATTTTGAAGTCACTCAATCTAGTTCTGAAAAGCCTACTGCGGAAAAATTACATACAGATGCAAATACAAATAATACTAATAGTAGTCTCCATTTTCTAGTTATCTCTAGTCCTTCTGGCGAGCTGCAGAAGATAGTCTCCTTTCATAATAAATAAATATATTCATTCTTGTATTGGTGAGCTGAGAAATATAAAGTGTCTCCGGTCTGGAGACTTGCTTATTGATACAACCTCAGCTACCCAGTCTGCTTCTTTACTTCAAATAACTAAACTTGGGCAAGCGAATGTCACTGTAACAGCACATAAGTCACTAAATTATTGTCGTGGTGTAATCTCGGAATTCGACCTTCTGTATGTTTCTGAAGAAGAGATCGCTTCCGAGCTGTCCGACCAAAATGTCTGCAGTGTTAGGCGGATCAAGATGCGTAAAGAAGGTAAGTTGATCCTGACCTTCAACACGCCTGATCTGCCTAAGAATATTAAGGCCGGATACTTAAATTGTCCCGTAAGACCTTATATTCCAAACCCTATGCGATGCTTCCAATGCCAGCGTTTCGGCCATTCTAAGACGTCTTGTCGTGGCAACCTGATATGCGCCCGATGCTCACAGATTGGCCACGATTCTGAAAATTGTACTGCTGCGCCTCTGTGTATAAATTGCAAGGGTGAGCACCCAGCATTCTCATGCCTGTGCCCAAAATGGAAATTGGAAAAAGAAGTGCAGACTGCAAAGGTTACGAGGAACATCTCATACGCCAAAGCCAGAAGATTCGTCCAAAGCATACAGCTTCGAACAAATACATCTTACGCCAATGCTCTTAAATCATCTCGTACAGTTGCCACCCAAACATCAATAGACACACAGACTCTACCAAATAAAACCCAACCGTCTACATCCAACAAGAAAGAAGAAAATGCAACCCATATAGTACAAAAAAAAAAAGGAACAGTTATTCAAAGTAAGCCCAAAACTGCCACACAAAAAATATCAAATAAAAATAGAAGTCACAGCAATAGCTCTCTTGATGGAATGATTTCTGAATCTGCGGACTCAGACAGTGTGGAAGTAGAAGAGGGTCTAGAAGTTCCCAGGGATCTACTTCCACGAAAAACAAAAGAACAGCACAGAAAGAAAAAAAACCATTCATAATGGCCACCCTCATCTCGTGGAACTGTCGCGGTTTCCACCGAAATTTGCTCGACATCAAATCTATAATAAATGTGTATCATCCTGTGTGCTTAGCAATACAGGAAACAAATCTGAAACCAGAACATCATGCAAAACTTCGGAGGTTTTCTTTCATCAGGAAGGATAACCTTGCAGGTGAGCGTGCCAGTGGAGGTGCAGGTCTCCTCATCTCACTGGATTATCCCTTAAATGTACTTTCTTTGACGACATCCCAAGTTGTCGCTACTCAAACAAATTTTGATATTGTTGTTTCAGTTGTTTCTCTGTATTTGCCTCCAAAATGGGCACATTGATCAGCAAGATTTAAATAATCTTATAGAGCAGCTGCCTGAGCCCTATATCATAGTAGGAGATTTTAACAGCCATAGTCCGCTCTGGGGTATTAAAAATACAAATTGCCGAGGAAGACAAATTGAGCAGATGATCGAAGATCATAGCCTTTGTCTCCTGAATAATGGGCAGGATACATATACTTCCATGAGCCTTCGAGGACATTCCATGCTCTCGACCTTGCCATCTGTTCACCATCTCTGTTGCCTTTTTGCACTTTTAGTGTGGGAAATGATCTTTACAACAGCGATCACTATCCCATTTTTTTATATATCTGGCAGGAAAAGGAGCAAACCCCATGTCGAGATTCCCTCGATTCATACTGGACAGGGCAGACTGGGAACTCTTCTCTTCCGTTGCAGAGCTCACAGATGAAATGGTAGAAGATGTGCATATCGATGACGCTGTTGAAGCTGTTACTAATACTATTATTCAGGCAGCTATGCTTTCCATTCCTAGAACATCAGGAAAAATACTAAAATATTCGAAACCATGGTGGAATCGCGACTGTCATGAAGCACTGAAAAAACAAAAAAAAAGCATGGGGTATTTTTCGTAGATATCCTACTCTGCGAAACCTCATAGCATTTAAAAGAGCCAAAGCAAATGCACGAAAAGTAAGAAGGCAGAGCCAAAGGAATTCCTGGATTTCATATGTGTCATCAGTAACATCCTCTACGCCTAGTAAGCGGGTTTTGGGAAAGAGTTCGAAAAGCATGCGGAATATATAAAGACCACTCACTTTCCTTTTTGGTGGAAAAAGATGGCCGAGTGATTAGCTCCATAGAAGAAATTGCTAAATACTATTGGTGAGACATTTGCTGCCGTTTTTTCCAGCAGAAATTATTCACCTGCATTTCTCTTCTATCAAGCAGCACTCTGAAATAAATCCCATCGCATTCAACTCTTCCAAATCTGAGCCTTACAATAGAGCATTTACTATGCTGGAATTAAAGAGAGCTTTATTGCAGACACATAGGTCTTGTCCGGGTTTCTGATGGCGTGTAATTACGAAATGCTAAAGCATCTGTCCTATAAGTCACTGAATGCCCTTCTCACTCTTTACAATAGAGTGTGGAAGGAGAGCTGTTGTAATTCCTATTGCTAAGCCAGGGAAAGATCCAAGGAATCCCTCGAACTATCGGCCAATTGCCCTTACCAGTTGTGTATGCAAACTGTTTGAAAAGATGGTAAACAGCCGCCTAGTCTACTTCTTGGAAAAGAATAATATTATATCGCCTTATCAAAGCGGTTTTCGAAAGGGGAGAACGAACCGTAGATAATATGCTCCTCTTAGAGACATCTATTCGAAAAGCTTTTGTCAAGAAGAAGTCACCTTGTCTCAATATTTCTTTGACATTGAGAAAGCTTATGATAAGGCATGGAGATACGGGTATACTTCGGGATCTTCACGAGAGTGGCTTGCGCGGCAACCCTACCAATTTTCATTCAGAATTTCTTGAACGTACTAGAACTTTTCAAGTAAGGATTGGCTCTGTTTTGTCAGTTATTTTTGAACAGGAAGAGGGTGTGCCTCAAGGCTGTGTGCTTAGTGTAACCCTGTTCATTTTAAAAATAAACTCTGTACTAAAAGAACTTCCTCCCACCATCTTGGGATCTCTATATGTTGATGATCTACAGATTAGCTGTCGAGGGGCAGACATGAGATACGTAGAGAGGCAATTGCAGATGGCTCTGAGTAAGATCCAAGAATGGTCAGAGAAACAGGGATTTACATTTTCGAAGCAAAAAACTTTGTGCATGCACTTTTGTAGGAAGCGAGGTCTCCATCCTGAGCCTGAATTATATCTAAATGGTACAATTATTCCAGTTGCGACCGAAGTAAAATTTTTAGGAGTGACGTTCGATCGAAAATTGACTTTCCTTTTTCATGTTTTAAACCTGACAAAGAAGTGTCTAAATATTTTAAAAGTGTTGGCGAACACATACTGGGGTGCAGAGCGTTGCTCTATGCTTTATTTTATTATGCGTATTTACAAAACGCTAGTCCACTCTAAACTGGACTATGGCTCAGTTGTTTACGGATCCGTCCGGTCATCAGTATTGTTGAAACTGGATCCTGTTCACCATCAAGCTCTGCGGATTTGTTCAGGAGCATTCAGGACTTCTCCTGTCCAGAGCCTGTATGTTGACTCTAACGAACCAGCACTTTATCTGAGGCGTGAGCAATTGTCCCTTTTGCAATATTTTAATATTCTATCCCAACCTGAACATCCCAATAAGCTGTGCTTACTTGATAATATGTGTAACACTTTATTTGAAACACGTCCATCCTGTGTTCCTACTTTTCCTTTGAGAGTTCGCCCTGTCATTGAGGAACTTTCCCTCTCTGATATGCGCCCCCAAGCAGTGCAGAATTTTGAAATTCCACCTTGGGAAAATTCACGAATTCAGCTTCTTGATGTTTTCAAACATCACGTGAAGGCAAGCACTAACGAGATTGTTTACAGACAACTCTTCGCTGAGCACAGGCACAAGTATAGCAGTTATTATCCGATATACACAGATGGATCAAAGTCAAATGATCATGTCAGGATGGCTTTTGTATTTGAAAATTACATAGAGGGCAGATGCCTGCACCATTCTTTCTCAGTCCTAACATCTGAACTAACTGCAATATACTATGGTCTTTTGTACATCTCAAAGCTCTGCCACAAAAAGTTCATAGTTTATACAGACTCCACTCAGAATCCTGTGGTAGTGGATGTTCTGAAAATTCATATAAGCTTAACGATTCGAGGATATGAAGTCTTGTACTGCTGGGTTCCTGGACATGCTGGAATAAAGGAAAATAAGCTTGCAGATATCGCAGCAAAATCTGCTGTTGAACTGTCCAGTCACCTTATCCCTTTTAGAGATATCTGCTGTATCATCAAGGGGAAGGTCCGAAAAAATGGCAGCAAATTTGGGAAATTTGCAACAAGTTGAGAAATGTCAAGTCTAGAATTGAGCATTGGGATTTTGCTGGAAATCGTAAGGAGGAAGTTCTTTTGACTCGCCTTAGAATTGGTCACACTAGAGCAGGGGTCTCCAAACTACGGCCCGAGGGCCACATCCGGCCCGCGGACAGATTTTGTCCGGCACGCGGAGAGCTAGCATACTTGAAAACTCCTTTTAGAGAACATATTTTTTATAGCAAATTAAATTTAGTTTACTGAAGTATTCTAATTTTATGTTGAATATTTATTAATATGACATCTGCATTGATATGGTCGTGGGCTAACTACTCATAACATTGTTGTAGGCTTATTTTTATTGTTTTTGTGATAAGTTGGATAAAGAAACACAGAATTGTAATGAGTAAAGACATGTATAATACGCAGAAAATTTAACTTCAGTATATAATAACTAACAAATTATTGAAATGAATCCAACTAACATTTTATACATTTTAAATAAAAAACATAACTTATAAAAGCATAATGACATATGAAATACTAATGAGATTTATGTAATTGAGATTTTCCACTGACAATAGTTTGTAGTTGTGGACTAATTTTACTTGTACCAATTATTAAAAGAGATTTAAGATGCTCATCAGTTAATTTAGATCTGTAAACATTTTTTGTGTACTTCATTTTGGAGAAGGTCTTCTCACACAAATAAGTAGTACCAAAAACAGAAAACAGCCCACGAGCAAATTTTCAAATTGTGTCAGTGGAAGACTCTTATAAAATTCCAACAAAGATGAGTTTTGATATTTGTTCTTTATTATATCACTGCACTGTAGATCAATCATTTCCATTTGAAGTTCCGGGGCTAGGGTTTCAATGTCAGTATCAAAAGGATTCTGAAAAATCTTAATTTGATTCGCAATGGCATCAAAGTCCGAGAAACGAGTATCAAAATTTATTTTCAAAGCACTCAAAGTTTCGATTGCAAAATCGATAGGAAACTCAGTCTCAGTGGTGTGGCTGAATATTTCACATGTTTTAAAATGTGAAAAACATTTACTTCATAGTTGTGATTGAAACAGTATCAATTTCTTCCGGAATGATTTGATATTAGTGTATAAATCAGGAAGATGCTGGTTTTCTCCTTGCAATCTCAAATTCAGTTCGTTCACATGTTTTGTCAAATCAACATAGAATACTAACTTCCACAGCCATGCGTTGTTTTGTAATTCAGTAAGAGGGCGATGCTTTTCATTCAAAAAAATTTCGATCACTGCTCGAAGTTCAAAAAAGCGCTGAAGGACTTTCCCACAACTAAGCCAACGTACGGCAGTATGATAAGGTAAGTCATTTTCTCCAATCTCTTCAATAAATTGTCGGAATTGTCGGTGATTCATCCCAAAAGATCTGATAAAATTAACAGTTGATATGACTGGTTTCAGAACTTCAGACATATCCAAACATTTTCCGCACAAAGACTGTTGATGAATGATACAATGTAAGACTAATGGTTTTGAACCACCGTCATTTTCTACAGCCTTTGACACAAGAGCGACCACTCCTTTATCTTTCCCACTCATGTTTTTGGCCTCCATCATTGTAATACATTTCAAGTTTTTCCATCGAAGGTTCTTTTGATTAATGGCCATTTCAACTCCTTTAAAAATATCTGTACCAGTAGTTGTGCCATGAATACTATACATATCAAGAAGTTCTTCATGCACTTCATAGCTTTTACCTACTCCTCGAATATAAATCAACACCTGAGCAGTATCTGACACATCCGTTGACTCATCCAAGGCCAAAGAAAACCACTCAACATGTCCATTTTTGTCGAACAGTTGAGAGGACATATTTTCAGCGATGTTTTCTACCCTTCGAGCCACAGTGTTTGGTGACATACTGACAGTTTTTAATAAATTTACCTTTTCAGGGCATATTTCTTCGGCTACTGCAATTATGCATTCTTTGATCATTTCTCCATCGGTGAATGGTTTTCCACGTTCTGCAATTTCAAGAGCCACACAAAAGCTGGCACGAGTTGCAGCCTCTTGTTCAGTTTTGAGTTTTGTAAATGAAGATTGCTGCGATTTCAATCCGCACTTCATAGCTTCGAATTTTTCTGTCCACAAACTTCCTGTATATTTTGAGTAATTTTGAAAATGTTTTGTTTCATAATGACGTTTAATGTTATATTCTTTGAGAACGGCTATGCTTTAATTGCAAATCAAACATAGCGCCTTGGTACTGGACTCAATTACGAAATACTGAATGTACCAGTGATCTTTGAATTTTCTGCATTCACTATCAATTTTTCGCTTCTTTTCCATACTACTTAATCGCACACAAAAGCAACAATTCAAATCAAAATACTGTTACAAAGATGTCTTAAACCTAAACACGCACAAACACGTTTTAAGGAGGTATGCACTATTTTATTTCACAACAGTGTCATAGGAACTGACTTCTGTACGTGCTATTAGCGCCATCTGTTAGTGATAGAAGGTACTACCTATTTCCGCTTGTGTCCACCAGATGTCGTGTCACGTTACTCCTCATGGCTCGTACTCTACGACTAATCTAGAAATTACAGATAATGACAGGAAAATTAATAATATGCAGTGTTGCCGTTTTGGGGACTTTAGTCCGATTTGCAGCCTTTTCTAAACGTTGCGTACTTTTTCAGACTATTTCACTTTTTACCACCGGCAACAATGACAATATGGTTTTGGCCCTCAGAACTTACTGTAGTAATCTATATGGCCCTAAGGCTGGAAAGTTTGGACACCCCTGCACTAGAGTGACACATAACTATCTTCTCAAAGCTGAAAATGAGCCTGTGTGTTATAATTGTAATGTTTGTTTCTGTTTGTCATATTTTAATTGAGTGTCCATGTTTTAATAGTCTTTGCCAGAAATATTTTAATAGCTGTGACTTACCTCTCGACCGTTATTCGGAAGAGAGGCCAATTGTAATTTATTTTATTATTTAAAAGAGACTGGCTTTTATTACCTAATGTAATTTGTTTTGAAGATTGTGTCTTGAATTTTAAATGTGTGCTTTTAACTTGTTTTTATATGACTTCATCCTCTAGATTTGGTACATTTGTCTACTTGTTTTTATTTATTGTATTTTAATTTCATCAATTGTAATCACTCCATCTCGTGTTTGGCACGCTATAATCATCTTTGGTTTTGCGCCATAATCTCTCACTCACTCACTCTTAATTGTGTTTCTTGCTATTTCTGTTGTCAAAAATAGTATTTCTAGCTCATTATTTCTTTTTTAATGCATCATTTCTCAATTCTCCCTATGTATTGAAGGTTTAAATAGCATACATAAAGGGTTATTTTATTTTCAATTTGCATGATGTGATCTTCCTCCTTCTAATGGCACATGTGTTTCTTCACTTTAGAAAATTCACCTGTTTTGAAGAAAATATAACAGAATTCCCAGTACATGTTTTTCATAAAAGTTTTGTGAAATAAGTTTTATATTCACAGCATTGCATGACTTTAGTCATCAGACTAGAAAAGCTAAATATCCAGTGATGTGAAACTGATATTTCTGATTGTATATATATTTATACCTACATTTAATATAATTTGTAAAAATTTCTTGTAGGAGCGAGAGCATCGTCGAGAACTGAAGAAGAGAGCTCCCAAAATGAAACAGCTGAAAGTGAAAACATTATAAATTGTCATTTTTAAACATACAAAATACTCACTACATCTGTATGAACCATCCAGACAAAATGTCTTGTGATCTTATTTGAATCATATTAAATTATTTATAAAGATTTGAAAATGATTAATATATTATATATGTTGGATTGTTAATTGTGTAAATATGGTTTTGTTATTATTTTAAGTTTATACGTGATTAAGATTATTGAACAAATAAATCTTTCATTTTTTATAAATCTAGTTTAGCAGTGATGTATTTCAGTAATAAACAAAAGAGGAAAAAAGAATTATTAATTTCATAATTATTGTTATAAAGTTTATTTTTTGTTTCATATTTTAAATACAAAAAAAAATGAAACACTTTGTGCATTAATGGTACTGCACACTCCCCAGAATATGGGTAGGAAAGATGTCGACTTGAATGCAGTTCAATAATAGAAATGGTACATGTTGACCTTGAAAAGTAGAAACATTTGACACTATCAAAGAACCACAGAAGGAGAGGCAGTCACTGCATTTTGAGAGACGGACTTTTCTACTAAATGTTGTCATTTGGATGTCTTAGTGGATGCCAAGATGTTGAAGACATGGACCAGTGGTTGACCACTGATAGGGATCTTTGGCAAGAATCTTTGTTAGATGACAACATCATTAGAATTCATCATTGTTGCTGATGTAGTTTACGATGATAATGCAATCTCCATCATATCACATGCAAATGGAGCAAAAGCATCGGAAACTGCTTTATGCTGTCTGGAATAGCAGACATCAGCTTCCTCTATTGATGTGATGCTTTTAAAAAAATGGTGATATTATGCAGCGAGTCACGAAATCCAGCATTCAGCAGAACAAAATGAATGAATCTTTTAAACATTCTTATTAATGTTACATAAAACTTTGGTAAAAAAAATTGATAGCTTAAATAAATGCTTACCGTAATTTCCAGAAGAAACGCCACAGCGTTTACGTGTTTAAAACTTAAATTTTCAGCAGGTGCGGCGTTTCTACCCATGCGGCATTTAGGTGCACTAAAAAATAAAATAGTTCCTATGATGGTCATTGTACATAGTTTGGATGGCCTTGTCATTGTACATAGACTGGTGCTATTCCCACACAAAAGACCACTCAGTTGCTTTTTGCGGACGTTATTTTATTTACATTCTTTCCCTCGAACGGACCTACATGCCTTATTCACCCTAAACGGGATCTCAGAACAATAACATTCTTCCCATTTTCAAATCAACATTCTCATCAGTTTGAATAGTCTCTTTCCTCTGCCATTCCATGAATCTTCCAGGACCCATCCTCTCCCCACCCCTGCCTTTTCTGCAATTTTTTTCAAATGCGGACACGACTCTGCCTGCCTCGCAATAATAAACTCTGATGTATTTCCTCTTCAGCATGAATCGATTTTTCTTGGCATTCTGCCAGATACAGATCCCATCAGTTTGGGTACAAATACTTTTTGGATAGTTTTTAAGTAAGAAAGGAGCGGAAAATGTTTTTAAATGGCACTTAAATGGCACAGAAGCTATATTGCTGGTTTTAAGCTTAATGTAATTTCACATGCTGAACAAATTGGAAATAGAGCAGCAGCTCGTCAGTTTGAAGTGGATGAGAGATGTATTCGACGTTGGAGAACTGAAAAAGATTTTCTTAAAAATATTCCACAACAGAAATGAGCCAAAAGAAATGGTACTGTAAGGTGGCCAAATCTAGAGGACAACCTTGCAAACTGGATAAAGGAGGAAAGGGAATGACAATTTTAACTGTAAAAATTTGCTTACAAGCAAAATTTATAGCAAAACAAATGAACATAAATGATTTCAAAGGAGGGCCTTGCTGGTGTAGCAGGTTTATGAAAAGAAAAAGTATTTCTGTGCGTACTCGAACAACAGTCTGGCAATAATTACCAATGGACTGGCAGGATAAAAAGGCATCTTTTCTAAAATGTGTGACATATACAGATATTATTGATAAAAAAACTTCAGTCACAGATAATAAATATGGATGAAACGCTGTTAGCTTCCAACTCTCCTGCAAACAGAACTGTTGATGAAACTGGTGCAAAAACTATATCTGTGCTTACGATGGGGCATGAAAGAACGTCATTTACATGTGTGTTAGCTTGTGCCGCAAACGGTGACAAGCTAAAGTCGATGATCATTTTTAAACGGAAAACTATTCCGAAGGGAGATTTTCCTAATGACGTAATTATTTGTGCAAACGAGAATGGCTGGATGTACGAAACAATCATGCATGAGTGGCTACAAACAGTTTGGCAGTGTTGTAAGGGATCTTTTTTCCAACCAAAAGGGTTATTGATAATGGATTCCATGCGTGCTCATTTACTTGAGTCGGTGAAAAACCAGATGTCAAAAATTGTCTTACGACCGTAGCAATAATTCCTGGTGGTTTGACAAAAATCTTACAACCATTAGATTTGTCAGGTAATAAATCCTTCAAAGCTGAAGTCCGAAAGCGGTGGCAGTGTTGGATGAGTGAAGGATTGCATACGTATACCAAAAGCGGTAAAATGCGTAGAGCATCTTATGAAGAAGTTGCAAAGTGGGTAGGAAGTGCATGGAAATCGGTAAAAACATCATCAATAATAGGGTTCAAAGAAGCTGAAATTATATCCTTAGATAAAGAGACTGTAAACCAAGAGGATGAATGTGACGATCTGGAAGACTTGGACTTAGATCAGGATTTACTACATTTTTTTAATTCAGATAGTGAAGAATCAGATTTTGATGGCTTCATATGATGTATAGTTTGCTGTAATTCCTTTTGTCATCCAAATTTAATATTTTTTTGTTGCAACATTTTTTATAATATAGTCTGAGTATTACAAATATGAACTTCTTTAGTGGGTAAATATAAGTATATACGTGAACGTAAATATATTTTCAACACTTCTTACCTTTAATTTATTTTTGAGTTATGGTTTCATTTCATGAATTTTTCTTAACTGATATGTCATATATCAGGACTTAGGTTGAGATTTTGCATCTATACGGCCCATGACGATGTCACGCGCAATTTAATCTATTGCGCCGTTTCTGTGTAATTTTAATTTTCTCGAGTGCGCCGTTCACGCTGATGGGGCTTTTCTTCCGGAAATTATGGTACCTTAAAAAAGTGCATCAATTAGTTTCTCTTCATTCTGCACTTTAATTGAAATTTCACTTAACTAGAAACTAGAAAAAAAAAAAATTAAATATAGTCTTTCTTTTCATTATATACATTTGTACTGCAATTACATTTTATACATATGTTCTTTTAAATTTGAGTGAATTTATAAATTTGATATTAATATGAAAAAATTATGATTGGCTTGAGTATCATGAATGACAGAAAGAGAGGTATGAAATTCCATTTTGAAAAATGCATAACTAGCCTTTAAAAAAGTACATTCTGAGGGAAAAAAAATCAATGGACCAATAGAATTTTATAATTATGATGAAAATAAGAAGTGAGCTCTGATGAGATGAGAATAAAGTGATTAAAACTGGATAGTGATTAGTCCATTTATCGAGCAAGCCACGAGTCTAAAATCATTATATAGCTATATGATGTATGCCACTGCTAACATCAACACATATGGATATTCAAAGGATTAGATACATTTTACGTGAAACAGAGGTCAAGTGAGTCTTAAACAGAGTCTAGTGATGCTGAGATGAAAAAAAAAAAAGTGTTCACAAAGACTGTAACTGCATAATTTTATGGAAGGAAACTTTTTCACATGAATAACAACACCTTTCTCATCATTTTCCACTTAAGCCATTTACTCTCCTTCATATAGTTGCAGTAAAATTAAATTTTCATCTGTTTTATCTGTGTCATATCTGTTAATTTTGAATGAGTTAATCCATTTTACATTAATTGCTGTGGGAAAAATTGTTCCAGTTTCCTTTAGTAAAGAAATAAATTTGTCAACCTAGGGAAATACAAGCAACTTTTTTATTCAAATATGAAGTCGTAAGTAATACAAAATATAAGAGTATTAAATGTGCTGACTGAAGGAAATGATTAATTCAAAACAATAAAGATGTGGAAAAATTCCTAGAGGACTGACTACATAAATGAGCTCAGCAAGAAAGAATTATGATTTCAGAAGCAGCAACAAATAGTCGTGGAAGAATTGTTTTCAGAAGAATGAACCACAATTTAAAAAGAGGTTTTTATATATAATATATATGTATGGTCTTCAGTCTCCTTTCAACAAGCTCAGTGGCAACCACAAAAACAGCTAAATGGCTCCGCAAACTGCGAAAATGAAATCTTCCTTCTTTGTATCAGAAGATTCTGCCACTGAAATGTAGACTAGTGAATGTGAACCGAAAGTGACGACGCAGTTTAACCAGAGACTAAAGCTCTTTTTTTAATGTGATGATTGTCCCTTTTGTGTGATCTTACTTCTTTTAAAGAAAAAATTTTCTAATGCTTTGCTATTAAATGTAGTTCTAGCAAAAATAGATTTTAAAAAAAAAATTGAATTTACATTGAAGGCCAACAGAGTGCCGGATATGTTATGAAGAAACATACATATGTTGATGGAGTCTCGAAACTAATAAATGAAGGCCCGTACTGCTCGATCACGAAAGATCCTTCAGCTTCTGATCTCACAAAAGTAAAAACTGCTGTTCAGTCTTCTCATATCATACCAACTGAATCCCTTCCCTTCCTTGATATTCTTATAATTCGCTATGAATCTGATTTCAGCACTACTGTTTACAGTAAACTCTTTTCTGTTCATTTATCGCCCCATGCTAAGTCATGCTGTGCGGCTAAGCAAAAAATGACTTCTTTTCTCTATAATGTATTTTACGCCCTCAGAACCTTTGCTTGTTAATGAATACAATTATTTGAGATCAGTTGTCATTGACTGAGTATTTTCTCCCTTGCAGGCCCGCGCCAAGCCCAATCAGCGCTGTCGTGCAAATGTCTAGCGGGCGCCTTTATGCAGTGATGATATTAGAGGGAAATTACTTATAATTAGCACTTAGTATTAAGTGTAAGAAGTATTATTAACATAACAGTAAAAAAAAAAAATCTGAAAGGTTGCAGATTTTAAATTACATCCAAAGGGGCGTTTCTTTAACATTTTGTGTGTTGCATTTATTTATTAAATATCATGTTGTTCGCACTTAAACCATAATATTCAGTTCAATAGCAATACCGCAGAATAGTTTTAAAATGAGCATATCTTTAGAATTTCCAATACAGAGACTCAT